AAACCACCAGAGCAGTGTGAGTAACCGTGGGCCAAAGTCACCATATGTCTTTGTTCGTATTATGAATTGTGGTGGAGGGCGTCAGACTCATATCCGTGCGTGGGTGGCCGCCGACACTGAGTCGTCAACTCGTCGTCGCTCGCTGGCCACCATTCAACGTTCCGTTCAGACACATCAAATCACACACAACAAAAAAATGTCAAAGGACCTACACTTTTCAGAAAATATCACATGTGCCCCCAGATAGAGCCACATATTTCTTTTTCACAGATCCCTGCTGGGTTAAGGCAGAGATATTGTTGCATGTACACCACAAAAAATACGCCCGCTGCAGCAAATTAAACCAGTAATTAGTATGAATTAAAACCGTTGTAATCCTTCCTGATGACTCACACAAGATGGCCTGGGAAATTTATAGTACCGCACCAATCACCATTGATTCATGGTGACACCGCCACTAAAAAAAGAAAATATTATATTATTGGTCCCCTCAACAGTGTTCCTTTCTTTCTTTTTTTCCATGTTATCACAGATGATAATACTATTTCCAGCTTTTCATATAACGATTTGTTTGATTTTTATTTTGATCTTAAATATAAAACCTCAATCTATTTTGTTTTTTATATTTATCTATTTTTTCACAAAATAGTCTTTATAATAATGGTAGTTCTAGCTGATACACTTGTTTAACAATAATATTTTAGAAAAAACAATACTTATTTATTATAAATAACTAATTTAACTAATTTTTTTAATCTACTTAAATTAATCAATTAGTTTTTATATTAAGAGTGGGAGGTAGTATAATAAATATATAGAAATCAATATTAATGCATGACGAGCGAGAAAGCTACTCTCTTTTTTCTTCGGATGGTATCTATAATTTCTCTGTTGAATAGACAATGGAGACGTGCTTTTTCATTCTTCTTTTTTTTTTTGCTGGCTCTATAAGCAATTAGTCCATGACTTTAGAATAATACTACATGAGAAAAATAATATATATATTTATATATATATTGACCGGTGAGATTGAGAGAGGGGTTCGTTGCATTTTGCAGTATTAAATGTCCTGCTAATTTTGGCCACAAAAATGTCCTCCTAAGCAAGTTATGTGACCAACAAAATCCATGGTGTGATGATCCGATTGTTTTGGTGGGGTTTGAAAATGATTCTCCCTCTGTTTTAATATAAATTATATTTAAAATTTACAAATATCTTAATTTTTTCCAACCTTACCATTCTTTAATATTATCAACTGTAAATCATTTGTCAGGTAGGAAGTGAGTTAGTTTCACCTTAGTCACAGGAACATTTTAGATAAAATTTATTAATTGCTCCTATAATTGGAATGGAATATACATGCCTTACATTTGAAGGTGTGGGAGTAATTTAAGATGGTTAAATTTATGCACGTGAGAAATGGAATCTCCGAAGCTATTCTTATGGTTGGTTACTTAAATCTATGTTTTTTATTACAATTATATAGAACTTATCCTCTCAAATAGTCAATACAGTGCATTGATTAATCGGGAGAGCGACCCTGTTTTGTTACGCTAAGCAACAAGCTGCCTTGGTCTTTGTTCAACGTTTCGGGAGCAAGACTCCAAGACCTGAGTTATCAAGATGTTACAAGACTAGAATTAATCGGACCCCGACGAGGCACGGACTAATCTCCAGTCCAATCCATAATACCTTTGCTCGGGGAAAGTTAGGAAATTCACAGGAAAAATTTTACAAAACGACGTGGGCAAAACAACTTTAAGGTTAACTGTAAGCCCTTTTACTACGAAAAAGAATTAACAACTTTGCAAGTACCTTACTTTCTCCCTAGTATCTACTATTCTTGATCTTGAACATTGTTTCTAATCACATTTCTAATTACCAACCTTCATTAACCGTTTGGAATGTTACCTTTCAGATGTTTGCAATGATAAAAAGTACAGATGCAAAGTCCATCGTCATCACCGGGCATTCCCTTGGAGGAGCCATAGCCTCTCTGAGTACTATTTGGTTCTTGTCTTACCTCCGATCCATCTCGTCTGCTATATCAGTCTTATGTATCACTTTTGGCTCACCGTTACTGGGAAACAAGTCTTTGTCCCAAGCCATTCTCAAAGAAAGGTGGGGGGGCAACTTCTGTCACGTCGTCTCAAATCATGACATAATGCCAAGGATGCTATTTGCTCCTTTGCAACCTCCTCTCACTGCCCACCTGAACTTCCTGCTTCAGTCTTGGCACTTGTCCATGGCTTCAATTGAACTTCGAAGGGTTGCAGTTCAAATTTCTGAACCAGACATTGCTGATTTGTTCTCCTTCGTAGTGGCTTGCTTGGGTGCAGCAGCAAAACCCGATGGAGAGGGATCTTCGCAATTTCATTTCACCCATTTGGCAGCTATGTCTTTGCTTCAGAGAAGGAGCAGTGTGCGTGGATAGTGCAACAACAGTAATACAGATGATGCATTTCATGTTTGCACCCAGTTCTCCAGCTTGCAGTATTGATGATCATCTAAAGTATGGAGATTACGTAAATCATTTGTCCCTGCAAGCCTTTAAGAGGAATTGCGAGCAGGCGAACATTTCTGACTCAAGCTACGAAGCCGGGCTTGAATTGGCCTTGAAGTCCTCAGGGGTCCCTAGCCAGGGTAAGTTAACTATGCTAAATAAGACACGGGTAGTAAATAAAACACGGCATGCAAATTTTATCTATAAAAAATTCAGTACTTATTATGATTTTATCAGAAAATTTAAGAGTGAAGCCCCTAAAAAGTGTTCTAAAACTTTTTCTAAACAGGGATCAGTTGCCATGCCCATCAAGGAATGCTTACGGATGGCAAGGAGAATGGGTCGCTCACCATCTCTAAAACATGCCAGCCTAGCAGTCACATTATCTAAGTTTGTACCTTACAGAGCTGAAATAGAATGGTACAAGTCATTGTGTGATCAGGCGGATGATCAGCTTGGGTACTATGACTCATTCAAGAGGAGGGGCTCTTCAAGAAGGGGCATGAAAATTAACATGAACCGTCTCAAACTTGCCAGGTTCTGGAACAATGTAATTGACATGATGGAAAGCAATCAGCTACCTTATGACTTTGATAGGAGCAGAAAATGGGTCAATTCTTCTCAGTTCTATAACTGTTGGTTGAGCCATTAGATATTGCAGAGTATTACAGGAAAGGGATGCACAGAACCAAGGGACATTACATACAGCACGGTAGAGAGAGAAGGTATGAAATTTTTGATAGATGGTGGAAGGATAGAACGCCTTCTGCTGCAGAAGGAAATCATGTGAGGAGCACATTTGCGAGTTTGACCCAAGATACATGCTTCTGGGAAGGGTGAGAAGAAGCAAGGGACTGGTTAGATAGTGTTAGAAGTGAAATTGACATAAGCAAGGAGGCTCATTTGTGGGATAACATCGAGAAATTTGAAAATTATGCTGCTCAACTCATTGAAATAAGGAGGTATCCAAAGACGTTCTGGCTAAAAACTCAAGTTACAGCGTATGGGTGGAGGAGTTAAGAGAACTGAGAGAAATGAAAGCAAAAGTGCAGAACTTTTATCAGTTTACCCGTTTTGTGAACGGGGGAGTAGTTCCTTAATTAGTCTGCAATTTGAATCGTGTAAGCCTTACTCTTTGCTTGTAAGCTAATTATGTCTGAGTCTCCCAGAACAGCTTCTGCTGCAAAATAACTTGTATGCTGCTTTATGAGTATGACCGTATGCCATCAGGATATCCTTACGTACGTATTAAAAGCAGGGAAAAAGTGAGTGATAAATTATCCTTGCCTGTTTTACCCAAGTGAACGAACGTTTACTTCAGGAACTTGCAATTCATTAATAATGATGTAAGTAGGATCAAGTCGCATGGTTTATACCTTGGGAACAATACAACTTGTAATAAATATAAGTAATACATAACATAAGTTTGTGTGTGTATTCAATATTGATATCTTATTATGAACATGAAAAGTTGTATGGATGTTAATCTCTTTCTTGTTCATCTTTTTTTGAGTAACTCCCCATACTGTCCTATTCCATTAATCTTGCAACTCAACTCCTATTTACACTCATAGGTTTTATTATCTATTATTTGTCATTTAACATTAGCGTAACCCAAGCATAAGACCATGCCCATAAATAAGTCACGTCAACTGTATTGTATTGATACATGTGGGTAAATGAAAAGGAGAGGGCTAAGTATGTAATGTTAGCCTCGTGATATAAGAGAGACAGGTCAAGAGTTTTGAGGACTACGAATGTACACGTGCACAAAAATTATGAATGAATACACACAGAAAAAAGGTTTATGTCACTCTTAATATGAAATGATAGTTGATACGTCGAGCCTTATCAGAGAACTTGAACTTAGTCAAAATGATGTACATCAAATTTTCATGCTGCCTGTTTGTAAATTTTCATGCTGCCTGTTTGTAAATGCTAGTGAAATAAAATTTGAGTAGTTGTTAGTACTTGATCACCATGGCTTGGGAATGAACAAAAAGAATCAGAACTAGATCGTGCGCACGTCATACCAAAGTTGCTGCATCAAAAGAATGAAGCACTTGCTCTAATATCATCTTTTATGAGGGTCAAGAGGACTCTCTGGTTTATCAGAGTGAACAATATTAAGAAGATAGAGCTTCTTTGAGGCCACAAATGCTGCAGAAAAAATCCTCCATGCCCATAAATAAGGCACGTCATCTGTATTGTATTGATACATGTGGGTAAACGAAAAGGAGAGGGCTAAGTATGTAATGTTAGCTTCGTGATATAAGAGAGACAGGTCAAGAGTTTTGAGGACTACGAATGTACACGTGCACAAAAATATGCATGAATACACACAGAAAAAAGGTTTAGGTCACTCTTAATATGAAATGATAGTTGATACGTCGAGCCTTATCAGAGAACTTGAACTTAGTCAAAGATGTACATCAAATTTTCATGCTGCCTGTTTGTAAATGCTAGTGAAATAAAATTTGAGTAGTTGTAGTGTTAGTACTTGATCACCATGGCTTGGGAATGAACAAAAAGAATCAGAACTAGATCGTGCGCACGTCATACCAAAGTTGCTGCATCAAAAGAATGAAGCACTTGCTCTAATATCATTCTTTTATGAGGGTCAAGAGGACTCTCTGGTTTATCAGAGTGAACAATATTAAGAAGATAGAGCTTCTTTGAGGCCACAAATGCTGCAGAAAAAATCCTCTTCATTCCTCCCCGAGTGCTGTCAATTATATATTCAAACTCATAAATTGGTAAGCCCCCTCCTCCTGACCTCTCTGCGAATTTAATCACCTCTGCTTCCTTTGTGCTTTCCTGAACCAGAAAATAATAGAATGGCCACTTAGAAGTTTAAATAAACATTTTCAGCACCTCCAGTGAAGTTTCAGAGATCAACTTATTGCTTTTCTGCTCTTTTCGGAAAGCTTTATGTTAAATGGAGATTGCCCATGTTTTGATTTTTTTTTCCCCTCTTTTATGATTAAAAAATAGCTGCTATCATTGTTGAACTCGGTATAAAATTCCTGACCTCCCCATTGATTGAATCTGGCATAGCTAATTTTTAGTGCCATCAAAAGTTTAACTTCCTATTCTTCTTCTTTTTAGAGATGCTGTTTAGAAAAGAGATTATAAAAGTAATTATTCCGTTACAAGTTCAGCAGCCGCTAGTATCACAGGGCACTAATTTGCGAAAGTTACAGAAGAATCGTAACAAACAGTTACCTTACGTTTTTCTGCTTGAACAAGCTTATCAGCCACAAATTGAGGACTTCCGAACTTTTCAAGACTTTCAAGGCGAACCGGGTTCACCACAACCCCAATATTGTTACTTCCCATATTTGCCTCTTGAAACAGCACAGTTGCTCCTGCTTTATCAACCTGCTAAGTATCAAACCTATTAACAAATATAATCGTTTTAGAAAAAAAACAGACCTTACCATACAAAGAATGAAAGGTCTGTTGTGAAATAGTCACATATGAGCAACTACCTTCATCCAAGAAGAGGGTTTCAGGAGAGTGAAACCTTCCTTTGAATCCGTGTACCTCTCCAGCTCCATTTCTTCAGCCAACAACGCACTAGACACATCAGGCAAACCGCATATCGACATTGCCACAAGGGTAAGGTTGAGCATCCTCTTAGTTAAAAAGGGTTCATCACTGCTGGATCTGGGATTGCAATTTTGAGTCACCAAAGAAGATTTCGGTTTGGACAATAAAATTGAGACGAATGTTTTTGGAGAAGAATAAATCAATCCATCACGTCGCAGGGAAAGGCTGCTCTGTAGAACGGTGAAACTACTTGTCAAAGCCATTGCATAGCACGGTGAAGCCAGCGATGCTCTATCTTCAGCCTCATAGGACAAATCCTTGAGCAGCCAGCCCCTGCCCTCGGGTTGGGTTATCCAGAGGGAGACACTTTATGCATATCTATATGCATATAGGTATAAAATATATATGTCCACACTGGACAGGTTATAACTAGCAGCAAAATGATATCAAATACAAGCTACAAACTACTCCGTACGAAATTATATTATTCGTAAGATATGAACAAGTCCTCCGGGGGGGCTAGTCCTTGCGATTTTTTTTTTATGAAATGTATCTACAGCTGAAATTTTATACTTTGTTACTCTTTTGAAGATGCAGGTGAAAATATACGCCCGCGTAATTTTTATAAATTAGAAAATTGACATAGCTAATTGCATCATGAAACTTAGCAATTGAGTTTCTGAACGTGATGATTTGATGTATTTAGGAGATGAATCATTATTTGGCTTGAAGGATTGAAAGAGAGGGAAGAAAAATTTTAATGAGTTTAATTTATATTAATCGATAGATGAGTATATTATTTTCATCCTAAATCATATACAGGGAAATATCATTTTGTGACGAATTAAACCTACACGCTAAACAGCCGGTTCGCAAGGTCATTCTCCCTTGGGGCTTGGTTCACAACCTGATCTAATCATAGAAAAGTCAATATCTTTTTTTGAAAATGTATCAGATTTGATTGAATTTCCAAAACCTCAAAAGGTAACGATCAAAATATCTTAATTTTATTTCAGCTCTAGTAATATTATACCAACCCCAAGCGCGTAGAATGTTTCATTCAACGTGGAGCCTGCGGCCTGACAAGCAAGCCGCAAAAAAAAAAAAAAAAAAAAGGAAGCCCCAAGCCCTCAATGGCATTTTCTCCCTCACCATCTACTTAACAACTGTGAGAAATTAGTTTTCTTATAATCCAAAAGTACAAACCCTGTTTGGAACCCCCGCGGGGACAAAATCTTCCATGTACAAGCTTGATGGCAGTCAAACTACTTGATAATATATTACAATCACTGCAGTTCAAAGATCTAAATGGGATTTCTCTCCACGAGAGCTGGAAGACAACTTGGATGAATGCATAAACATTGTGCCAAAATATCTGGACAGGATGAGTCGAGCAACATTCTCAGCTGCTACAGCACTTGTTTCCATGGTGCTAGCTGCATTCTCAAATGTATTGACGTAATACAAATGCCGACCATCCAACAGAAATGGCGTAAATACTTCAGGGGCACGGTAGAGAGGGTAGGCGGGCCAGTTTATTCTAATAGTCTCTTTCCTCACACTGCAAGTAGCGGCAATTAAGAAATATATATATATATATATGTAATTAAAAGAAGTTACAGCTAAAATTTGGTTGCAGCCCTTTTTCTCATTTTCGCGGGCAATGGAAGAGGGGAGATCTCAAATCCAAATTAAAAGAAACATAATACAAGAAAATGTAAACACTGAATCCTATATTATTTGTTTTGTGGTTCAGGTGTTAACCACAATAACAGATGATATTAGGGTTTAATTGCGAATTCACTGCTTAGATTATGATCGGACTGCTTTCGTGACAGGAAGTGAGTGGGTTTAGTCAAAGGATTTTGTTGCACAAATCAGCAGCATGACTTTGCTAAACAACTAGCTGATAATACTTTACCTAAAGATGGTATCCAGCAATGAGTCTGACACTGGCTGACGAGAGAATATCTTATACGTGGCATCCTTTTCATCATACTTCTTGAGAACTGAAATGCTAGAGAATGGAAGGTCAGGAGCCTCGACTGTGCCCACAAGGTCTGGAATCTCCGTCACCGCACTGAGGCCAAAGTATGCCTTATGTCGGGTAACACAAAACATCACTATTAGAAATAAAAATTGAAGAGAAAAGGCATTATGCTAACAATAAAACACCTTTATTGTTGAGTTGTTTGGAATGACTTATAAACAGTTTTTTAATCTCAATTTATGGAACACGAGATAAGCATGTGAGAGGAATTTTGTCTTAGTTTACATGAAATATGTTTATAAGTGCTTATATAAGCAATGCCAAACAAGCACTAAATGATGTCAGTAAGTTTCTGACTGCCAAGATACTTACTGGGTTCAGCAAGCCCCGAACAAAAGTTGCATGGGTGTGCTGTGTTTTTCTTTTAGAAATTGATGTCTGAGGAAATAATTGTATATTTGACTCATCCAAAGGTGTAGCAACCACTGCAACCTCACAGACATAACTGTTGCCTTTCGTGGAGTTGAGTTCATAAAAATCCCCAAGGTCAGCAATGGATTCTATTTCTTCATGCAGGTGCAACGCAACATCAGACTGATTAATCAGTCCAGCAGCCATTTGCCAGTTGCCTCCTTTGATGGACCATAGTCCTCCACCTGATCCTGCCAAAGAAACTGTACCAGCAAGTCCGCTGATGTATACACTCTGGCCATAATTAATTCGCGTGATGACCTGTATGTATAAAGAGGCTTCTTATTCTGATTAGCTTTCCTAAATCTTATACCCTGCTGCTTACTCGGACAAGTTAATATAACAACAAATGGGAAGCACCATGCCCTCCACATCCACTTCACAGGGAAAACTGAAAAGGCTATAAGCATAAAAAATTTTGTCAATTAAAACCCTAGAAAAACCACATGACAAGAGCTTGCATGGGACACGAATAAACTGCCCAAGCAAAAGTTTTCAATGCCGTATTAAAAGGGCAGACCGATACCCACCTTCATAAGACTTGACACTTTATTCATTCCAAATTGTTCGTCACTTAGCAATATAAATACTTTCACAGAACCCACTACCCTTAAATTAGTACACAGATGAATATAAACACGTTGAGAACCGCAACAAATCAGGTTATTCAACTATAACATTGACAGGCTCATCATTTCTCACCACCTAGGTTATAAATAACTTTATATAACTGGTCTTTGTTCCCAGATTGAATCTTCTTGCGAATACATCATTCACATTTTTAGCGTTGTTTTTACATAATCAAAAGACAGCTCTGTAATTCTGTTACAGGGAAAAAGTCCCCTTGTTCCAGTGCCGCCGCCGCCGGCACCATTAATATCGCCTGTACTTCTATTTTTAGACGAACGAAATACCAATACTGTTATTAAGAGGTGTTTCCATTGCACTCAACACTTCAGCAGAGCAACAGAACGATTAGGTGAGAGATTTGAAAACAGCATAATTAATAAGAGCTCTTACAGTGACAAGTTCTTCTATCAACAAGGGAGACAACCCAAGATCAACTAATTCATCTCGCAAAGTCCTGGTCGTAAGATTATACAGACCAGCCCACTTCAGCATCGCATCCGGAGTCTCGAAAATAGGTCTCGAAGCTGGTTCGTCGTAGTACCTTAAGAATCGAGCCACGGTACTCTAAATAACAAATAAATGAAGGCATTACAACAAGGTTATGCGTTGACTAGAAGGTTTACAATAAGAAATAAAAGAGCACCATTGAAGCAAATAAAATGAATCGCAGAGAAATAAAGGAAAGACTAAGGCACCTCAACAAAAATATTCATTTTAAGAAGTGAAAAGCCGTAGCGGATGAATAGAAGAATCGAATTAACAATTGAGACGAGCTTATCGAGCAAGGGAACATTGGAATCAATTTTGAGCGTTTTAAAAACAAACTTCTCCCCGTCCCAAATTCCCAGAGACAAAGAACCTGAAGATGAATCCTTCTCCTTGAACTCGAGATTAAGAAGCTTAGTGTAATTCAAGGCGTGAAAGTTTTTGGGATGAAGAATTGAAGCTCCAGCTTCGAAGGTGTCTCCCGCAACATTCACAGTAGCCATGCGACCCCCAACGAGTCCGTTGCGTTCGAACATTTGAATTCTGATAGGAGGAGAGGAACTAGGTGAGTACTTGCGGAGGAAGTGGGCGGCTGAGGAGCCACCGATGCCGCTGCCGATGATACAGACGGTCGGTGCCGGTGAAGTTGCAACATCTTGTGCCTGAAAGATCGCAAGAAAAGTCAACAGCAGGAAGATCCTCGCCATTGGGTGCGTCATGCTAGTAGGAGTCCCGTCCATGTTCCCCGTCTACCACCGTCTCTTATCTGGCGAACGTGGTTTTCTTCTGTGCAGTCCAAGCTTCGGCGAGGTCCTCCCCCCCCCCTTCTCCTATCTGTATTTTTTTAAACCCTGCTATTTTAATTTTTAATAAGTGCCGCGAATTAAAAGATTTTTTTTAATTTTAAAGTAAAATAGACTGACTATCTTCTATTTTATTTTAATTATAATTTTTTCTATTTTGAAAATGTATGTAAATTTTTCTTAAAATTAAAATATATATTATACAAAAATTTTTTATATTTAATATTATATTTTCATCTATTTAAATTATTAGTTGACCATTAAATTTGATTTTTAAATTTTTTTGTTAACCAAAATACCCTTTTTAACATAGTAATTATTTAAAAATTTATATTGTCCAAAAATAATTTTTATAAAATCAAAAAAATAATTCTAATACATATATCTTTAAAATTTCTAATATGTTATAAAATTTATTAATTTTGATTTAACATATAAAATAATAATGTAGGGATTTATTAGAATGGGGGATAAAATAGAAAATAAATTTTTAGTTAAAAATAATATTTTAAAATTTTTTAATTGTATTAACTAATTGCATTAAATTGTATATTTTTAAAATAGAATAAAATTTTTTACAATTGATACAAGCTAAAAACATAATGAGAGTATTTTTCTCTTAATTTTATGGTTCCTCTATCTAAAATTATATGACGTCTATCATACCGCAGGATGAACTGTGTTGGTTTAGTCAAAGGATGAGCTGGGCCGTAGCAAATGTCATCATTTTGACCATTCATTCAATAATTACACTGTTTTATTTAAAAATGAATCGCATTATTTTAACTTAAAATTTGTTAAAATTTCAAATTTTTATACAAAATATGTATACACGCCCACGCATGATCCGATTGTTTTTTTTGCAGTGTTTGAGTAACCCCATAGTTACTTTTTAGAAATATAGTAAGATTTTTAACCGTCATCACTCTAATTTTAATCTGAAACCGGGCGTGTAAAGCGTCCTGAATCCGGAA